CTCCGAAGTTCCGATCTAAATCAAATGAGTCGTGAACCCGCTCCCAATTTCTGATCTGAATCAAAAGATTTGCGAACCTGCGCCGAAGTTCCAATCTAAATCAAATGAGTCGTGAACCCGCTGCCAATTTCTGATCTGAATCAAAAGATTTGCGAACCTGCTCTGAAGTTCCGATCTAAATCAAATGAGTCGTGAACCCGCTCCCAATTTCTGATCTGAATCAAAAGATTTGCAAACCTGCTCTGAAGTTCCGATCTAAATCAAATGAGTCGTGAACCCGCTCCCAATTTCTGATCAAAAGATTTGCGAACCTGCTCCGAAGTTCCGATCTAAATCAAATGAGTCGTGAACCCGCTCCCAATTTCTGATCTGAATCAAAAGATTTGCGAACCTGCTCCGAATTTCCAATCTAAATCAAATGAGTCGTGAACCCGCTCCCAATTTCTGATCTGAATCAAAAGATTTGCGAACCTGCTCCGAATTTCCTATCTAAATCAAACGAGTCGTGAACCCGCTCCCAATTTCTGATCTTAATCAAAAGATTTGCGAACCTGCTCTGAAGTTCCGATCTAAATCAAACGAGTCGTGAACCCGCTCCCAATTTCTGATCTGAATCAAAAGATTTGCGAACCTGCTCCGAATTTCCGATCTAAATCAAATGAGTCGTGAACCCGCTCCCAATTTCTGATCTGAATCAAAAGATTTGCAAACCTGCTCCGAAGTCCCGATCTAAATCAAGTGATTCGCGATACATGCTTTGAAGTCCCAATCTGAATTAAATGATTCATGTTCCAATTGTAGAGCTGTGAATTATTTTGCAATGTGATAGTTTAACTGATTCGGAGTTTCGAAAAGCTCCGCTTCACCCATCACTATACATTGCTTTTTAAAATCATTATAAGCGATGTCGAAATTCGAAAATGAAATGCTCTTTTGATATATATATTTTTTGTTAGTGAATTGCTAGAACTGAACGATTGAAGTCACGAGTTAGAATCAATCGGAGCGGTTCCAGCGTAAATGAATCAGTTTTTCTGTTCCTCCACTTTTCGTGTCTTCAGCCATGTTTACACGACATTGTCAGTACTACTACTGGTTTAGCAAAAAACTATGAGGTTTACAAATAAAATATTTATATGTCCATTCCCAAGATAAAATCCAACACAAATCTACGAACATATTCAAGTGAGGTAACTGGTTTACTGCTAACTACTGAAGACACTCTATTAAAATGACAATGGTTGGATGGATGGATACAAATATAAATGCAACAACCATTTTACTACCAAACGTAGCTGATAACAGGATGTTGCTCATCGAATTAAGTGTGTAGTATAGTGATGTCATTATAAACCTACTATTTTTGTGGTTGCATAATGTTTTATACCTTCATGCTTTCATACATGTTTCAACTTGAAAAAATAAATAAACATAAAATATTGCATGACAGTATACATTATGTACTGTGTGGCATGCAGTAAACAGTGTGGTAGTATTTCATTTGAAACAGCCACAGAATAAATCAGTCTACGGAAACAGAAGAGAAAGGCATGCAAATCTACAGAGATGTGGATTAAATTAATCAGAGGAAATTAATGAATTAAACAGGATGCTGTATCAGTGTGAAAGGTCACAGTATGTTAATGAATGATAATCTCACTGGTCTGGCTCATCGCTGAAGTAATACCGAACCACTCCAAACGTGCCAATGTCATTATCCGTGGCCTGCAGAGAGAAACACACAAACAGAGAGCCATGAGCATCATCAAGACGCATACTCTTGGTCATTCTGTATGTGAATGTGTGTGTTTGTGTATCCTTGAGTGTGTTTCAGTGTTTTAATATTGAGATGATGGTGTCAGCATCCCCTGTCCTACCCTACAAAGTACTCTGTTCTGCACGATTAACGCTGAACACACACACACACACACACACACACACACGCACGGTCACTCTTCAGGAAGGACCATTAGGGGAAGAACTCTCCTCACACCAGATGGGCTGGCATGAACTGGCCGCCCTGTCCTCTGTCCTAAAACAACACAAGCTTTTGCTTCACCTCTTAAATTGTCAGAACTGCCTTTATAAAAGGAAAAGGAAAATAAAGTAAAAGATGAGTGACAACACATAAGTGGTCTCACTGACATGTTCACCCACACCTCAACACTCACGCAGCCTTATTTCTGCTGCTGTTTAAACCCCAGTGAGCCGCATTGATGTCTATTCTATGTCTATTTCGACTCTATAAAGACAGCAACTCCACATATTATACAGAAGTGCATGCACTGGAGACTTGACTCACAATTCATTACAAAAAAGTTTGACTTAACTCATCGCTAAGCTAACAATGTGATAATCTAATGAGCATAAATATACATAATTCAAAAATACTGGGTAAAATAGTCAGGCAGCCCTGCCCCCAAACTCAAGCCATTGGTTGAGACAGAAGCTGACATGTGGCACTCAATTTTTAATGCAGAAATGATTAAAAATCCTTAATAAAGCTGTAATAAAATCTACATTTTAGATGAAAAACTTTAGAAATGTTGCCAGCATGAAACATGTAAAACTGAAACATGTATAAAATCTTAAACTAAAATAAAAATGAAATTTCCAGCATTACTCCAGTCTTCAGTGTCACGTGATCCTTTAGAAATCATTCTAATGTGCTGATTTGATGCTTGAAATATTTCTTATTATTATCAATGTTAAAAGACGTTTTTGTGGAAAATGTGTTTCAATGTATTCAATGTATTTAATTGAAATAGAAACTCTGTAGAAATTTGGCAATTTTACAAATGCTTTTACTGTTACTCTTGATCAATTTAAAGGTATTAATTTCTTCAAAAAAAAAAACTAAACTTTAAAATGGTATTGCATAATCCACTTTTCTGCAGAAAAACAATCTGTATTTTATTTATGAATTAATCAATTCACAACCAAAAAAATCTGTCAAGGTAGGCATGCACCATAGTAATAAGTATAATATATGAATATGTAATCATTCCGTATCAAAGCATGTTACATTATTCTCCTGAAAATGGGAAATAAAGTGTTTCTAGAAACCACAGTGACAGATGCTGAATTTGGCACTCGTCAGCATCATAAAACCTGCCCAAAATGACACTGCATTTGACAATAAATACAGCACAAGAACATTATGAGATATCCCAGTGAAGTAGATGTTGTGTAATAGCATATAGACAGCATAAAGTGTGTGTTTGCATGTGGAAATAAAGTTCTTCAGTGCTGAAGGGAAACAGATTCAAACCTGACTTGTATCTTTATGCAAATTAATACAAAAGGTTGAAAAAACAAGTCACCACAGAAACAACAGCGCAGCTGCGTATGTGTGTGTGAAAGAAAAACAGAATATGACAAGTGAAACTTCTCTTTTCTAACACACACACACAAACGGCAAGTGTAACATCTGTTAGATCCTGATATAGAGAGAATTTGTTTTCTTTTTTGTCAATGATAATCCATCAAAGCAGATGTGCAGGTGTCTGTTATCAGACAGTTGTTATTGGGGCTTGATTTGGTGGACTGAAACTGATCTGTAGAGTTTTCCGCAGCCTTTTGCTGTAATTATACACATACACAGTCTCATTCTCAATAGCCTTATGTAGCCAGACTTTGCCAATAGTCGACGTCTGGTCCAATTTGCAGCTTAATCCAGCCAAGAACTGGCCGCTTACACAGGAGAGACCATCTGATGACATTTAAAGTGACCAACCATAGTTTGTTTTCTTTATGTGACCTTTAAGGCCAAAAATAATGAGGCCATAATAAGTGAGACAGGTTATACTAAAACCATCAGAAACATTAGTGGAAAACAAGAGTAACACCAAGCCATCCAAATATAAAAATATTATAGGATATTTAATGGATATGACCAAAAACAAACATACGAATATAAACGTGTGCACAAACGTGTGCATAAATGTGTATAAACAATGTTGTTTACTCGCTTAGTAAGTGTCTTAAACAGCACTTTTCAAAATGTTCATCTTATAATAAATGAACCTTACAAACTTTAGCAACTGGATCTTCCTATAAAGCAATCATTGTAGCAGCCTGGTACCAACAACCTTTTCCCAACCTGACCTTGAATGAATGAATGAACGAACGAATGAATCAATGAATGAATGAATCAATCAATCAATCAATCAATCCTGTGCAAACTGACAAAAACTGTGAAAAGCTATCTATTATTGATTTTACCCTCCATTTGCAGTGTCATAAATAATAAATACATTTAAATAAATATATAAATATAAATGTATGCATTTTAAAATGTTTTTCCCCAAAAATTGGACTTCCAAGATACATTTTACATACATACACAATTTGTTGTATACTGTATATATATATATATATATATAACAAATAAAATAAAATAAAATAAAAAATATGCTATATGAAATTTAATTAAAATTTAAGTAAAGACTAATAATAATACACCTTTTTCTATCAAAATTACCAGAAGCTGCTTGCTGAAATAAGAATATAATATTGCAAGGTCATGTGAAAATAGCGCAAGCTTCCTATGATTTAAAATTTTTGTTGCTTGTTTGTTTTTTTAAACAAAATTAAAACTAAATCAAAATGTAAAATTTGTTTCACAATATCGTTAAGAAAAAATAAATAAAAACAAAACTTGTTTAAAGACTGTTAATCAGATTTAGCATGGCTGAAAATATCCAATTAGCATCCAGAACTGGAACTGCTTGTTTCATTATCAATGACAAGGGTGTGACTTCATTCCAATTTGCTCTTTTATTTAGTCATTTCTGTTTGTTGTTTGAATTTTCTATCTGCATTTCAATAATGATCTGATATAGCTGCATTTTAATCCAAGGCTCTGCCAAAAATGTATAGTCTTAAGTCTGATTTTCAGCTAATATAGTGTTGTATGCTACATTGATGGGATATTTTTGCAGGAGTCTGCCTGCGGAGTCTATATTGGGTTATTTGACAAAATCCGTTTTGATGTGTGTGAATCCCAGAGCTCGTGCCTGTAGAGTGTGATGGACTGTACTTCTGATTAAATTATTTTAGGCTGATTCTCATTGAAATGGGATGTCAAATTTGATGTTCTTTTACAGTTTTACTTAATTTTTTGTGGTGCTGATGTTAATGTCAAGGTAAGCGTATGATGTAAGAGCTTGTTATTTAATTTCTCTCTCTGGCGCGCGTTCTGTGATGGATCATGGCTGGGTGCTGGTAATGGGGTTTCAGTTGACTGGCGGTGCTGCTGGTGTACAGGGTCATTGAGTTGTGGGAGTGTGTGCTGCTGTCAGTGACACTATTACAATCCATGATTCAACCATGCCCTGATGATGACCTCACCCTCTGTGTGTGTTTTTCAGTGTGGATTATGACCAGCGCTCGCCTGGTGCCACTCTACAGTGTATTCAGCCAACCGGCCAAAACAGTTTGTTACAAGAAATGCTGCCAGAGTTTTTCTGTGACACGAGTGGAACACCAATGGACCGCAATGCTCACTTCCTCCATCTCAATAATTGAATAAACAGCCAATGAGCTTACACTTCTGAATGCATTCAGCCAATCAGTGTGTGATCTGTGAAGAAAAGAAACAAACTTACAAACAAAAGAAAGAAAGAAAGAAAGAAAGAAAGAAAGAACAAAATGACAACAGAATGAAAAAGAACAAATGTACAAAAACAATAAATTACAAACAATAATACAGAAAGGACAAACTAACAAACAAAAATCAAACAAAAAAGGAAGCAAAAGAAAAGAACAGACAAAAGAGAATGAATAAACAAATGGACAAAAGAAACAAGGTAAGAACAAAAAATAAAAACAAAATGGATAAAAGGAACAAATGGACAAAGAACAACTGAAAGATTAACAATGATAGAAAATAATAAACAATTAGACTCAATCTTTCTTTCTTTTGTCTTCTCTGTATCCTTCCTTTATACAGCTTTCTACAAACTAACAAAAAATGAACAACAGACAGAAAAACAAACAAAATAGCCTAGAGAACGAACAAATGGACAAAAAACAAACAAACAAAAAAACAAAAAAGAGAATGAACAAATGGACAAAACATTTAACCAAATAGATAAATTGAACAAACAAAAAAGAAAAAAAAAATTAAGGAACAAAATGAATATAAGGAACAAACAGGGACAGAGAAAAACAGATGAACAAAAAAAAGATAGAAAGTAATGAACAAAACAGACTTGTCTATAGCCTTCCTTTATACAGCTTTCTACAAACAAACAAGCAAAGAAACAAATGACAGAAAAAAGGAAAATGAACAAATGGACAAAACAAAAGTAAGAACAAAAAAGAAACGAAACGAATAAACTGAACAAACAGAAAAAAAATGTATAAAAAGAAAAACCAATGAACAAACAAAAGACTCCATCTTTCTATCTCTTCTATCTCATTTCCCTCACATCCCTCATTTATGGACTTTACAAACAATTAAAAGAACAAATGAACAAATGAAATAACAAACATCAGGATAAAAAATAAAAGCAGCAAATAAGCAAATGAACAAACCAGCAAGCAAAAAAAAAAATGAAAGAATGTGATTTTCTCTGTCCATTGTCCACTCTATTGCTCCTTCATGCCCTTTTGCACAAACAAAATCCTCCCCTTTTCCTCAGGCTCTGCCCTCACAATTCTCTCTGTTTACCCCTCTCTCTCTCTCTCTCTCTCTCTCTCTCTCTCTCTCAGAGTGATTG